GGTCCTGGGGGCAAGGGTGGAGGCAGAGGGGTAGAGTTGGGTGTCATCTGCATACAACTTTATTGAATTCTTTGAAGATATATCTGATAAAGGCAATGTAACGGATGTAGTTATCTGGATTTCCAGAAGGCCTTTGATAAAGTGCCAAATGAGACTCAGGACCAAAATAGGGGCATGTGGAATTGTCATACATAATTAATTGAATTTAGGAATAGGAGACATGGAGTCAACATTTGCAGATAACATGAAACGGGGGGGTGGGGGTGTTCCTCCTAAATTCTGAAAAAGGATTCAGTGAAAATAATGCAGAAAATACAGCAAGATAAACAGGCAAGCAGAATGGGCAGATAGATAGCAATTACGTTTATGTAGGAAAACGCAAATTCACTTTAGCAGGAAAAATAAAGCGTCTGGGGAATCTATAAAACTTTAAAAGTAATTACAGAAGTAGATAATGCTATATGAAAAAGGCCAATGGATCTTGGGCTTTATATCCAGAGGGACAGACTATAAAAGTGAGGCGGTTATGTTAAATTAATACCACATTGGTATAAATGGTTAGACCGCACTTACAGTATTGTGTCCAATGCTGGTCTCCATATTATAGGAAGAATATAACAACAATGGAAAGCATACAACATAGGGCTCCCAGGACACCGCTATCAGAATAGACTGGATGGATAGGTTAGGTCTTTTTTGCTTTAAGAGGGCCATAATAGAAGTGTTTAAAATTATAGAAGGGTACAATAAGGTTAAAGTGTCTGTAACCATGGGACATAAATACAAGATAGTGACTAGGGGATCACAAAGAGAATTTAGGAGGAACTATTTGACATATATAGTAAGATTGTGGAACTCGCTGTCTGAAGCGGAGGTTGAATTAAGATAGTATAGATGCATTCAAAATACAACCCACATAATTACGTGCATAACACCTTTCATCTTGTAGGCGGATAATATTGTACAATATGGCCGAACTGCCACATGACTCTGGCTACACCTCTCTTCTCGTCCCCCTCACACTGCCTCCAGAGGCAGCTCATACCTTCTGCTCAGACTCTCTTCCCATCACTACAATGCGGAGAATGACGGGAAGAGAGGCGGAACAGGAGGTATGACTCACAAATAAATACAAAAATGTGCTATATAAATAAATGTGCTACATAAATACAAAATTCGTGAAAACTGGCCTCCATATCTTTCTAAAAAGGCTACAATAGAGTTATCCCGTATTTAAATTGCAAAACAAAATTAATTTGAATAATTTTAAAAATTTTCTCTGCATAATTCTGTGGGATGTATCAAGAAGAAGCTATTTGGGAGAGAGGAACGGAAGCATATAGCATGAAGTAAAGGAATGGGTGGAGACTCATGCAGAGTACAAACACCAGCACAGACTGATTGGGCCCAGTGTCCAGTTTCACTGTCGTACATTCTTCGTAAATCTAATCTCCACCATTAATTTTATTGCAGTAACATCCTGTACTAGCTTTGGAATTATATTTGAATGAAAGATGTAGGAGTGGTTATTAACTCATTTCCAAAGTAGCAAAAACAGTCATGCATTAATTTTGAATGAGTGGAATTTCCTGAAAAATCTGGATGGACAAGGGGTTAAAAGTCATTGCGTATTCCCTGTGAAACAGAGGTTGTTTTAATAGGCTCTGCGTGGTCACTATCCAATAAGTTAGACACTATGCCCATATTAGTACAAGTTCAGATTTCACTGTCAGAAACAACTTTTTTTTTAAATAAAAGTAGACTTTAGGATTTTCCCAGTCCTTCTGAAAGAACATCTGGTGTTTGTGCTATCGTACCCCACCCTTTTCACCCTGTGTGAAAGCTATTGTACTGACAATCCAACTATGTTACATTTATAAATCAACTTTCTTTGCCAGAATAAAAACTTTTTTTTTGGCTATACATTCATATACATTGCAGAGTATGAAATGCTCTATTTCCCCAATATACAATACTCTCTTTTTTGGCTATAAATGCATATTACTTTGCCTACATTCCTTTTTGGTTTGATAAAATCACAAATAAGCCTTTCACAAATATTAAGTTTAACTCTAAGTAAATAAACTGCCAGGCAAACACTGGATGAATCCAGTCCCCAATGTATATAGAACCCAGTATTTACTCAACAGAAAAACAAGAGAAAGTTCATCTCTTATCTGGCAAGCTTGAATTTTTAAATAGCACAAGACCTCCTCCAAATCAGAATTTGCACATTAAAACTAATTATGTTAATCAAATCTAGAAGTGTCTCAACACCGATGAAACACAATGGCTTTCTTCCAGGATTAGTCATAGGCAAGGAAACAACTTGCAAATCCAAGTAGGGTGAATTAAATCTGGCTGGGGCTGCAATTAACAGGTAACACTGCCATGCTTAACATTGTTTAATATTTAAATTAAGATACCAGTATGTGGTTAACATGTTATGCTTTTGGACAAACACATTCTTCACTCCAAAATAGGTGTAAAATTTCAAGATATAGAAGATTAAATCAAATATTTTCTTTTTGAGGAAAGTAGACATACAAAATGGCAACAAAATGATTCATTGATGCAGTAAAAATGTACATTAAAAATACCAATTGGATGCTTAAAACTGTTCAATTACATTTTAAACATAGTTGGAAAATAATCCCCCCCACCAAAAAAAATGGAACAGTGTTCAAAATATACAACCGATTTATCTAGTAGTTTGTATTGCAAAGGAACAGATTGTCTGGACAAGGCTAATTTTGCTTGATAATGTTGTTACTTATCCTCTGGTAATGAGTCAGATGGACAAATTTTTGTAAGCAAGAAAATACAGTGTAATCCTTCTAACATTGTTTGGCAACTAAATAATTCAAATCCATGTTACGGAAAGGCCTGATCGTAGGTTTTATTGCACATGCCAGAAGCAAGCTTCCTGTTTCTAGCCTTAAAGGAAAAAAAATGGCAGGCTTCCAGTTCATCTGGTCATTCCATTTTCTGTGTATGTGCAAAGCAGAAAGAGACATCGTCGGTGGCTGATGAACCTGGAAGTTGACAATTTTGTAGCACAGGAAGCTAAAAATCACCGACATCCGGATCATCAGGCCCCTTTTAAGGTCAATACCTGCCCAACAAAGCAGGGTTTCGGCAGAAGTAAACTAAAGACTACATTTTAGGATGAAAAGCCAGCTGGCATGCAGGAAGCAAACAGCGCCTGCGAGTATGCACAGTGTATGGGGTCCAGGTGCAACTTAGTTTATAAGGGAATTTGGGTTATAGTAAAACACGTTATGAAAAGCGGTACTGCGTACTACTGGATTAAATCAGCTTTTACAATATCCATTGTTTGGTTGAGGGAGGGACTCCTCAATTGTAATTAAGGGAGTAGTGATTCAAAGCAAATAAAAGCTACACATCCCTACAAAACAAGTTACTACCATAACTGTGCAGCAAAAGAAGTGCTGAATTTATGAAGGCTCTTCTTGGGCCTGAGCTAGCTCCATGGTAATTTTAGCTGGTTAAACTCCATAGTGCCCCAATGCACATTCTAGAGTCCCCAAGTCTTTGCTCTTGCCAACCTGCCCCTAATATTTTACGGAATTAGCAGGGTGCATTCCTGTGGGGGAGGTGTGCACTTCATTTCAAACACAGGGAAATTTCTATGCAGGTGGAACTCTTCTGGTTTGGACACTCTTCAGGATGACAATCGATTTCTGCATGAGGGTTGGAGACAGCCGGCTAAACAAAAAGAAACTGCAGCAACAGGGCAAATTCTGATGGAAGTTTCAAATCCTGCAATTTCCCAAATCTCAGATATAGTATGAATTATTATTCATGAGCTGAACGTCTAATCCAAGTCAGATCACACCGTTGTATTGCTGGCAAAATGAACTGCCAATGTAAGTCATTATTACTTAAATCAAGTATGCTGCCAAAAAAATTTAAATGTTCAGTCTAAAGTTACAAATAAACACATTTCAAATTACAGATCTAAAAGTCTATTAGTCCAAGTTTCTTTAAACATGAACCACATGTTAATGCTTTCATACGGAAAAAAGCTGCTAATGCTAAACAATCAGTAAATTAAATAATCTTTGCTGAAATTATTCATCGAAGGAAATATTTTATGAGCATTTAACACTATTTTTAGAAACTTGAAAAAGAATCCGTGTCTCTGAATTATTGAACCTGAACTTTTACATAGAGCAGATTACCTTGCAATCCCACAGTAATTAACAACAACAACAAGCATTTATATAGCGCCCTCCACTCTGGGCAGCATCCCAAAGCGCTAGTTAATAGATAGAAGGCAAGTACAGCAGTCAATTATCCCATGTCTGTTTTTCCAAATGCGGCCCTGAAAGGGATGCGGCCAGAGGGTTGCAAGATACCAGCAAAAATACTGTTGTGCAGGGTGCCCAAGCTTCTCAGGATGCTCTGACGCAAGCTACATTGCAGCCCTGGCAATCTCACATACAGGCACAACAGTAGAGATTTTATACTTTATACTTTTACAAACTTTTATTGTATACAGTTTAGGGTTAGAGTCAGACCAGAGACACTGGCAGAGACAGAAGCATAGAAAGTTGATTCTTGCAAGAGACTCAAACAGAGAAAAATGCAGAGCAAAATAAAAAAGACCAAGGGGGGAAAGTGGAAGAGAGAGAGAAAAGAGAAAGAAAAAGAAGAGCTGGTAACAAGATATTACACTAACAATATAACTCATGTTGGAAGAATTTGTTGTTAGCACTATAGCCAATCTGTATTTTTCATGATGTGCACTGTCTGCTTATCTGCAAAGAAGCTGGTCTACATTAGTATGGATAATCGGCTCTATTATTTTCATATCAACCCAGTGAACGTGAAAAGATAGTGGACGTGAAAAAATAAACAAAATGGTAAACAACTTTATTCAAAAGCTTTTCATGAATACAAACAGAATGCCAATGCCATTATTAAACAGTTTAACATCCACTGTATAGGCAGAAACTCCTTGTACTTTTTCTTACCTTCTGCAACTCCCCAAGGATACTGCCTTCCTCGGACTCGTTTTCCATTCACTTCGATAATAGTATTGCTACCTACAACAGCAAGAGGTAAGCGGTCCTGCAAAAGAATAAAAGTTATGAAAATAAGTATTAAATATGATATAGAAAACTACTAAACTCTTCACGTACATTTAAGAGGGATCGCAAATACTTTAATTTCATGAAAAAAAATAAAAGATTGCCAAACATTGCATTCTGCCAAATCAGTTTTCCAATGAACAGTAAATGAGTTTAGTGAATAACAGTGCATTTATTATATTCCAAATCATTGCTACTTTGTGGAGAACAAAGGTCACTTCTCAACTAAGCCTCCAGCTTTCAAAAAATATAATTACCTAATAAACACACATCTTAATAAAACATAATGGTTTTATGAAGTCACGTTATTTTAAATAAATCACCCTTTAAAATTTGTGGGGTTAGATGAACCCCATTTTTCTGACACTGCATGGCAGGCAAATATATGCTGGGTAGAAAGCTGCTCTCTTCCCACCTTAGATTTAATTGTTTTGTTGTGGATTGTGTAACTTTTGCACTTGATCTACATTAAGCAAACTCACCCCCACTCCCTTCTATTTCCTGGGTCAGGAAACTCACCCTCCCATTTAACTGCAAACCTGGCAGTATAAATGCCCAGTCCCACACGCATTAATTACGTTGCCAGTCAGATGAGACTTGTTGTTACTTCCGATTTCACCAAACATGCCACAAAGGCAGTATATTACACAAGCTGGTGAACTGCTTAAAGAAAAACATATATTAAAAAACTATGATCTGCTAATATAAAACAGAGTGGAATGAGTATGGTACCTCATTTTCAAAGGGAGACTGTAGAATGCAATTTTTGCAAGCATTATCAGAGGGCCGGGTTTTGAACCCTGAGATAGTTAAAACACTGTGTATGATGGTTTATTTTTGGCTGTTTTGAAATAGCCAATTGAAGCAACACAAAAAACAAAACAAATATATTTTACTGACAGTTTTAACGGTTTCTTTATACACAATTCTGCACACCATCTAGTCAAGTGTTCAAAATGTGCATCAATTCTTTTTTAAATACACTGATCTACAATCACTTCATAATGCATTATTCTCCACCCGAGAATGGTATATTAAACTAAGGAAAATGGGTGCGTGAATACCAATTGCTCATGGAAGTTAGAATTTCAATCCGTGTTTCAATTCAGCTATGAGAAATGCATCACTCAGTCAAATCTTTTAACACTCTTCTCACATACCATTTAAATCATTTCATAATTTGCATCTTATGTAGTTCATCGTAATGGATAGAAAGAAGCAAGAATGCTTTGCATTTTGTGGGTTTGTTGTCATTGAAATAACAGTACTATTTATGGGTGAATAAGCTCAATGGTTTTATTTGTAGTCTATCAAGATGAAAACTTCGTTTTACAATAAGACATTCTGCCTTAAACCAGTTATATAAATGCCACTGAACTGGAGGTTTTATATGCCATCAAATATTCTCTTCTAGTTGAAAATGTTCAGCTAATATGGATTAAGGTACGAGATTGAATTTAAGACCATCTCCTTTAACCTTAACATATTTGGGGCTTCAGAGCATAGAATAAGATCAGTCACAAATTAAGTACCCACCTTAATCTTTTTTACCAGTTTGTTTTCTTCTTCATCGTCCGTTTCTGGAAATTCATAGATTTTTATTTTATGCTCCTGGATTTCTCTCATTATCTGTTAAAAAAAATGCGGCAGATGAGTTAACCAAATTTTAAAAGCACTCAACTAACATGTCAAAAAAAATCTGCAACACCCGCAATACATCACAAGAAAATTGTCCACATTTTAATCTATGCCTACTAATGGTAAGATTGTAATTTAGAAGTATTATAATGTTAATGCAATACGAACAATTTTGGCCACTTGTGTTAATCTTGATTCATAATGACGCAAGAATTCCTGTCAAATTAATAAAGTTTCCAGGGTGTGCATGTCCTCGCATTTCCTTTAGACTATTGCTATTCATACTCTTAACGCTTAACTTACTTTCCCCACCCCAACAGGTCAATCAGATTGAGAATCTTTTTCTGTGTAAATATTGAGTGTTAGGATCTATAGCCATTCAAAGCCCCTTCTGCTGCTGACAGTATACAGGGCTAGAAACAGTCAGCTAACTTCAGGCAAATCAGTGTCATGGCATTTCAACTAAGTAAGCTAATTCAATTCATAAACACCATCATGCCAGCAATATTTCCAAAGAAATCAAAGTAAATGAGCAAAAATTACATTAAGGCTAACAATTTGTTGCATTAATTTTTAACTTATAAATACACCATTAGCAAGTTCAGGTATTGAGGCACCAACTATACTCATTTGCCAGCAACTCTTTATCCCTCCCCGTTGAACACAGAAATTGCATTGGATTGACCTAGTTGCATCTGTAATAAATCTTGAAAACTTTTGTGTCTTAAAAACATTCAATTGGAAATTTGTTCAAAGTTGTTTTAATTCAAAATGGGCATTTGCACAAGCTGAAATAACAAAATAAATGTAATAATAATAATCCTTGCAATTTTATATAGCACCTTATCGCATCAAGATGTTCAAAGCGCTTCAACCTGAATTTAAATTTTAACTTTAATAGGGGGAGAAATTGGAATCCGAATGGATAAAGGAACAATAACATGAAGATAAATACAAAAGAGCAGACAAAAATCTGGTTTAATTTGTAGTGTTTTTGGCATAATGGCAGTTTAGGGATAATATGATAATGCAGCTATTTTTGATGTTTGAGTAATTTTATTACAGTAAAATAGCAATAATTTCAGTATCTGACCCAGGGAAACAAACATCCCTAACGCTGCCAGCAGTTTAAGAGCCAAAAAAAGCCATGTTAATGGCCAGATGAACTTTAAATTGAAACAAACCACACTATTTGTGTCAGAATTGAACAATTGCAGCTTTCCCAAAGCAATTAAAACATCAAATTCAATGTACAGACATTGTTGCAAACTGAAGCCATGCAAGACCATTCATTCATGAAGAAGATTGCAGCACACACAAGTTTTTTTTACAATGGAAATATTGAATATTATTTAAAAACTATGTCTCAATAGTTATATGTTGACACATGAAAGAAAATGTTATTCATACACAACAGATATTCATACACAAGTACATGGCGACTGTCTCTGCTCAATCATCTGCTGTCTCGCAGCAACTGTCACCTTTCAAACTTGCCTTACTTCCCCGCACTCAAGATTTCCCTTTATCCACTCATTACTTACAGCATATTAGCTCTTCCTTAACACTGCTTCCTTCCCCTACACAAAAAACCCTTATATAATTTTATATTTATTCTAATTTTTTCCTCGGCTTTCCCAAATTGAAAAATGATCTCTCTGTATTCCTTTCTCTGTAACCCTGCATCCAGTATTTATTTTGCAAGTGAATATCTTTAAGATGTTCTTTAACCCATGCCTAACCACAATTGGGCTGAAACGTAACACACTGAAGCTCACATAATAAACATAAAAATCTGTTCCAAAATTACTTAAGGGAGAAGATATCCAACCCTCTGGGTAAAGGCAATTTAAAAGAGCATTTGAAATAATGTTGAGTACTCTCACTTCTAAACTGGAGTAGAAAGAGAGAATGGCAAACAATAGCTTTTTTTTAAAGCAAACAAACATTAGAATAGACACAACTGCAAAAATAACAAGATCAAAAGGAAAGCTATTTATTTCAAGGTTTTCAGTATTTTAGACCAAGGTTACTTATTATGTTAAGTTGCCCAATCTCATCCATTTTATCTACGCTTTCTAAAAAGATGGCAGACTTCCAGGTCATCAGGTCACTGCCAACATAACTTCATATTCTGCATAAGAACAAACAAAGTGAGATTGGCAGTGATTATTGACCCAGAAGTTTGTCACTATTCTTATAGCATGGGAATCGGCCTGTGCAAAGGGAGCAAGTCTGCTGACTACATGAATGCATAGTGAAACCAGCTTTATAAATGAAAGCTGTGGTCCTCCTCAAGTCACTCAGACACTTACATTGTATACCAATCAAGTCTTAGAGCAAAAGGTAGGCAACTTTTTACGCAATCAGTTTGCTTTTTTCCTCACCTGTCTTTTGAATTGCTGACATTCTTCTGGTGTGAGAGTGTCTGCTTTGGCAATGAGTGGAATGATGTTAACTTTTTCATGTAGGCGCTTCATGAACTCAATATCCAACGGCTTTAATCTGAGGAAATTTATAGCATTGGTCAGTAAACAGAGTTGAACTTTAGCATTCAGCAACCACTCCAACTTAATTTTAAATTGGAAACTCACAAGCACGACATCATACAAAATGCTACTTTGGACAACAGCAAATGTGGAGCATACAAAGAGCAAGATGGGACATTCACATATAGCCCAAAGGCATACACAGTTGAAGTGAGCCAGTGAGGAATGCTTTACTCCAAGTCCTAGTAACTCCAAGATCAAATGCAGAAATTGGAATTTGAATCAAAACAATACTGACCAATAATGACTATTAATCGATTTTTCTCAAAACAAAGCAGTTCAGTAATTCACTCTACATGACCTTTACACAAAGCATGCAAATGTAATCTGGTTAGTGTTTCAAGCAGATTTTACAATAACCACATGTTCAATATAATTGATAGTGACATTTGCTCTCCACCCTGGCTTTTTACTCTTAGATTAAAACCTTGAACTTATATAGCACCTTTCATGGAGGATGAGTGCCTCAAAGCTCAATGCAGGTCACCCGAGCATGGAGGGGAAGAGTTTGAAATGTTGTCCAAAAGCAATCAAACGGATTATTTTTAAATTGAGCGTTTCAAAGCAGGAAGCGAAGTTGCAAGGCAAAGAGATTTGGGAGTAGGTAGGGTCAGATTAGATTTGATTTTTATTTTCCCTCTCCCAATACACGGTTCAGAATCAAACAAAAAGATGTTACACATCATACCATGTGTTAAATAAAGCTCATCACAATTGAAACAATGGATTTCAAGTGCATTTCAACTGTGAGTACATTTCTGAAATTCACAAAATACTAAAGTTTTCTATTCTTGCTGAAGTAGTGCAAAGTCTTTTGCTTACCCATGTCCTGAAGGTGCAATGAAATATAAACAACAGTGGATTCTGCTGTCTGGCATTTGGCGCCGATTCACTCGAGACTCTGAATTAAGATAATCTTCAAATTTGCTGTCAATGTGGTCAATAACAGGTTGCCAGCTGCAAGTCAAGAGAAGTAGTCATCAATAAAGGCTTCCAAAGTTCCGAAAAGGATCAGATACAGACAAGTGAAGGAAAGCAAACATCAGGTTTGGGCCAACAAGGGACTATGAATTTAGTCCATCCTATTCCTAAGTATTTTTTAGATGCATCAAACAATAAAATAATCTGAATTTGTATTCAATCTTGTTCATTTTGTATCTAAACACTCAATACACAACAGCTATCAAACATACTTTGGTGATGTATACAGAAGTTAGTTTCACCAAAAAGCAATGAATGAATAGCTGGTGAAATAATGTGGTAACACCCTTCAGGAAATCCCAGTCTGAAAATTTCCCAGGACATATTCAAAAGCTTACCCACTTCTGATTATTAGTAAGAAGAAAAGTTTTTTTCCAAGCCCTGAGCAGACAGCACAGAAAATAAGATTAGCACCTAGAAATATTCTTACAGACTACAGAGATTCTGGTGTCAATTATCAATTTTTCCGATATGATTGTACACTGTTTTACATTGGGAAATAGGTCCTGAAACCCAAGTTTACACAGTAACAAAGAGGGTGGAAGACTACATGACATTTGTATTACTCATTTTAATTAGACTGGTGCCTAGCAATTCCACACCCCTATTAATTTTATGTATACCATCATGAGGACAAAGCACTCATGAGTAAAATAATGGCTGTAAAAGTACAAGTGTACATTGCCTTCTTGGATGAAAATCTGCATTGAGCATATTCCACTTGAGACACATGTAAAATACTGTATTAACACTACTATGGTTAAGTGGCCAAGGTACTATAATTCCTTAAAATTAAGCTTTTGCTATCTGCACCCAACTGTGGTTATATTCAACAGTTTGTAGGCCACATTAAGCCAAATTCCTTATCAAATGCTTTGGTTTTATTGCTGGGAGGAAGGTGATATAGCAGTAATGCGGAGCAGAATGTCTAGCTGCTGCTCCTTATATTGGCCAAGGGAGTTTACAATCTACAAATCCAAAATACAATAGGGATTTTAATGCTAAAGAGCTGGTCGCATGTGCATTAAAAAACTCAAGCATCTTAAGATATCTTAAGATATCCAAAAGAATGCCTTAAAAAGTGCAGGTAAATTCAAAATATATTCAGGCCTCCTGCAGCAGTGGAACTCAAAGTGTTGCCAAAACTACCTTCTCAAATGGCCTTCACAGTAAACATTCAGTGCAAGCTGTATTGCTTAACCCAAATTTTACTATATGTTTCACAGAATGTATAGATAACCCTAGGATAAAACAGAGCTAGTGCAGGTGTTGTTTGGGCCAGTCCCCATCATAGATAGTCTTATGACTGACCACCTATATTCTCAAAGAAACATGAAACTTAAAATATTCAACATACTTTACTCACAAAGGGGGCGAGCTATAATCAGCCATTATTAGAACAAAAATCCAAGAAGCTCTCAAATTATACAGAATATACAGCACAGAAACAGGCCATTTTGCCCAACTGGTCTACGCTGGGGTTTATGCTCCGCATGAGCCTCCTCCTTCTCTTCCCAACTAAGTCTATCAGCATAACCTTCTATTCCTATCTCCCTCATGTACTTATCTAGCTTCCCCTTAAATAGATCTATGCTATTCGCCTCAATTACTCCATGTGATAGTAAGTTCCACATTCCCACCATTCTCTAGGTAAAGAAATTTTTTTCCTGACCCCTACTTGATTTATTTGTGACTATTTTATATTTATGGCCCCTGGTTTTGGTCTCCCCCACAAGTGGAAACATCTCTATGTCTACCGTATCAAAACTTTCATAATTTTGAAGACCTCTATTAGGTAACCACTCACCCTTCTCTTTTCAAAAGAAGAGCCCAAGCTTGTTCAGCCTTTCCTGATAGGTATAACCTCACAGTTCCGGTATTATCCTTGTAAATCTCCTTTGCACCTTCTCCAGTGCCTTCATATCTTTTCTATAATATGGGGTCCAGAACTATACACAGTACTCCAAGTATGGTCTAACCAAGGTTCGATATAAGTTTAGCATAACTTCCTTGCTTTTCATTTCTATCCCTCTAGAAATGAACCTCAAAGCTTGGTTTGCTTCTTTTATGGCCTTACCTGCGCCGCTACTTTTAGCGATTTGGGTATCTGTACCCCTAGATCCCTTTGCTCCTCTACCTGATTTAGATTCTTATTTTCCAGGCAGTATGTGACCTTATTCCTCCAGCAAAATGTACCACCTTACACTTATCTATATTGAAATTCATTTGCCAATTAAATGCCCATGTGGCCAAGTTTATTAATGTCTTGTAATGTGCTGCAGTCCTCCTCAGTATCAACTACAACCCGCAATTTGGTGTCGTCTGCAAATTTTGAAATTGTACTTTTGATCCCAGACTCCAAATCATTAATATAAATTGTGAACAACAGTGGTCCCAATACCGATCCTGTGGAACACCACAGCCCACCCTCTGCCAGTCTGAGTAGCTACCGTTACCCTCTGTTTTCTGTCTTGTAGCCAGCTTGCTATCCATTCTGCTACTTTTCCACATGCTCTGACCTTATTCATTAGTCTATTATGCGGTACCTTATCAAACGCCTTTTGAAAATCCAAATATATTTATCTACTGCATTACCCTGGTCTACTCTTTCTGTTACCTCTTCAAAGAAATCAATGAGGTTGGTCAAGCATCACCTTCCTTTTTGAAATCCGTGCTGTCTATTCTTTATTATATTTTCGGTTTCTAGATGTTTTTCTATTACCTCTTTCAATAAGGATTCCATTATCTTTCCTACCACCAATGTTAAGCTGACAGGTTTATAGTTCCTGGCCTGGGCTTGTTCCATCTCCCTTTTTAAATATAGGTATGACATTAGCTATTCTCCAGTCCTCTGGCACTACTCCCTTTTCTAATGAATTATTATATATATCGTGTATATGTGTAATCGTGTCTGCTATCTCTTCCCTAGATTCTTTTAACATACGCGGATGCAATCTATCCAGACCAGGGGTGTTATCCTCCCTGAGTTTGGTTAGTTAACCGATTATCTCCCCCTTTTTATCATCGTGGAGTCCTGTAGCTCAGTGGTTAGAGCACTCGCTTTGCAAGCGAGAGACCTGAGTTCAATTCCAGGCAGGCCAGGGCGAAACCTTGGGCAAGTTTCCTTACTCCACACGCCTAATAATAATCCCTCCAAAACCAAAAACAATAATAAATTGGCCATTTTCAATCTACGACTGTTTGTGGGACATTGCTGTGCGCAATTGGCTGCCACGTTCTCCCACAAATATGCAGTCAATTCACTTTACAGTGTGTTCTGTGAAGCGCTTTGGGACATCCTCCCGATGTGAAAAGCGCTATATCAAATGCAAGGATTATTATTATTATTATGAATATATGTATATCATTTTTGATCTCTTCGTCTACTGTCATGTCCACTTGATCCGTCTCCCTGGTAAATACTGAGGCAAAGTTAATTATTCAATATTTCTGCCATTTCGCTGTTACTGCCTATGAGCTTATCTTGTCCATCTCTCAGTGATCCTATTCCTATTTTGATTTTTCGTTTGTTATTCATATGTCTGTAGTTTTGTCTGTCTAATATTCCTTGATAATTTAATAGTTCCTCTTGGCCTTCTTAACTTTTTTTTACTTCTTTCCTAACCTTTGTATTTTTCTTGTCATGTTCTCCCTTGTTGTTTATGTATTTAGTGTACCCCGCTTTCCTCAGTCTCAACTTTACCCTTATGTCTTTATTCATCCACGGTGTCTCATTATTGTTTAGCTTTATCTAGTTTTTTAGCCGAATATATTTCTCCGGGATTCTATTGATCACCCTTTTAAATGTTTCCCACTGCTACTTTATCATTTTGTTTGCCAATATTGTTTTCCAATTTATTTTCCCAAGTTCCATTCTCATCCCCTCAAAATCAGTTTTTTTCCCAATCTATTACCTGGTCTTTGTCATACTTATGTCCTTCTCAATCTTTATCTGAAACCTTATTAATGGTAGAGTTTATACTGCAATGACTTTCAAAGCAGTCAATTATTGCTTGATATTACTTTCTTTAAAAATAAATTTTCCTTTTTAAATTAGCAAAGGTACATTTGAAGATGATTGCCATTCATTTCTTTGTGATCATGTTAACTTTGAAGTCATAGAACTTCATACAAGATTGCACACCAATAAAATGCCAATTTAGATTAAAAATTGGATACAAAATTGTATAATATTCAGATTAACAACCAGACGTGCTTTCATTTTCTTGTAACTGCAGTTGCTGCAAAACTACTCGACAAAAGATTTGGGTGAAAAATTCACATTGCTGGGAATGGGAGTCAGTTGATAACTCAAATGAATCATTTCTGATGACTGCAGTTTTAATTTATCGCAAAAGTTTAAGTCAAATCTGAAGCAAGAGAACATGTATTTGTTATGTTTGGCCTTCATTAAAAAAAGAACTTCACTGTCCACATAAGCTCAATTTGTCTCTTATAAATTTTAACCTATTTTTGAGACTTATAGTGCAACCCCTCCTGCAATAATTAATGGGAGAAGAATGGCTGATACAGCAATTTTTCACATACAAATAATTACACAGCTACTACCAGCAGCATCTTTACCACATCTACAGGAGATCCAATTTAATAATGAAAGTGAAACATCCAGATTAGGCCCACCAATTTTCTACATACAGTTAAGTATTGCAAAGATGTCAAGAATACAATATACAAATGCATCTAATGATGGTTCAACGGCTTCACATCATTGCAATACTTATAGAATGATACCAAGATATTCTCACATACTGAGAAAATCATTTGACCCAATCAGTCTCGAAGGCTGTATTAAAGCAGTTCATTCCTGTTTTTGGAACCACCAAAATCCTCAATGAAAATCCAATATAAATGAGTCTTCATGCCAACCTATTTTTTTATTTTGGTAGACCTATTTTGGTAGACCCCAAAAGTAATGCCTCCTATTTATTTTGTGAAGAAATGTAAGTGGTGCAGGAATGAAAATCATACACAAGATACTTTCATACAGGGTGACTAAAAAGTAATGATACCATTACAATGTCTAATAAGTCGTAATGAAATGATTTTGTTTTAGATAATAGGGTAGCTGAAAAATAAGACTTTTTGGTCAACCTATATATCCCAGCCCTACTGTGAAAATTTCCTTTGCTTCTAACTAGATGGAGGCACACGACAGCAGTTCAAAATGGCACCAAGCATTGATACATACATTAAGCAGATAGCAATAATTGAATTTCTAACAGCTGAGGGAATTTCGCTGATTGAGATTCATCACTGCATGATGAAAGTGTATAGGCATGAGTACTGTAAGACATTGTGTCAATGCGAGTACCGTAAGATACTGGGTAAATCATATGAAAATTGGAGAAACTGAGCTTCGAGGTAGGTGTCACAGTGGGGTGCCAGTACCAGCTGTCAATGAAGAAAATACACAGAAAGTTGGTGAACTGATCTGCAAAGATCAATGCATCACCTAGTGTGAGTTGAATGAGAGTCTTGGTATTGGTCATCATGCTATAGCAATTAATATTCGTAACCTTGGGTACTCTAAAGTTTGTACTCGGTGGGTGTTAAACATGTTTCACAAGGAAACCAAAAAGGCCATTTCCACATAATTTTACCGTACTGGCATACTGACACTGGTTCTACATTGGTGCAAGTGTGTAGATCGTGATGATGACTTTGTGGAAAAATAACTGCATTGGTGTATGTAAAAAGCTTCTTTCTCTGTTCACGTTAAGTTTTGTAAGTCAATATTTAAAATGTTTTGAGAAAATAGGAAGGAGGCATTACTTTTGGGGTGTCCTCGAATATACACAGCTTCTAAGTTGGTGGTAACATGGTGGCATCTTCCAACACTGATATGATAAACATCTAAAAGGGTATTTGTTCCATAAAAAACTGCCCAAATTTCAGGCACGAGTGCTAAACTCACCATTGGGGGGCTGGATACAAAAGATTACAAACCATCAACAATAAAGTATTTTGCAATTCACAATTCATTTGCCACCGAGCTCAATGTACATCTCTTGTTACACTGAACCTAATCATATCCTGAAATACACTCCCTTATATTTCCTTTAAAGCTCCTATTTTTAATAACCTTTTCTAAAATGTTTTAAAGAACATTGAATATCTTATTCAAGACAGAACATTCAACTCAGTTCCAGAATACTGTAATATTGTTCTGTGAAGAGATATTTTTTTCATAGAAAATCATGCAAGGTAGCAAATGGGAAAGAGCAGAAAAACATTTTGAATCTTGTGCACCTTCCAGAATTGCACTAACCTGAGCACAGGATTCCAGTATTCTTTCGTATTTCATTTATATTACAGAACTGCTATACCAATAGCAGTTCTAATAATAATGCTTGCATTTGAGATAGCACTTTATCATGTCTTTGAGACGTCTCAAAGCATTTCACAGAATATATTGCAAAGGAAGTTGACTATATTTGTGGATGAAATGCAACAACAACAAATTATATTTGTATGGCTCCTTTCACATCGGGGGCGGGGGAAGGAAGAGTCATCCCAAGGCAGCCAATCGCGCACAAAGGAGTCCCACAAACAGTCGTGGATTGAGTGACCAAATGATGTTTTTTTTTTAAAAAAATTTTGAAGGGATCATTACCCCTGGAAAAGCGATCGGCCAATCGACTAACAATCGCTAGGTAAACAGAGGCGTGTGGAGTAACAAAACTTTCCTAACGTTTCGCCCTCCTGGGAATCAAATTCAGGTCCTCTCATTTGCAAGGCAAGTGCTCTAACCAATATGCTATAGGAATCCTCAAATATAAAATACACAAGGCAAGGCTGTACCCTCCATCTCCAGAGGAGAATCTACATTCTATCTCTGGAGGGAAAAGCGGAAAAACACCCAAGACAAGATGATCCCTCTACAGCAGTGGTGACCAACCTTTTTAGTTGGCCAACAAAATAAATGTATCTTGAATTGAATATTTCTTGACTTATGGCAAATATTTCTTGATTTGTGGATGGGTGGTCAGATCAGTCCAAACCCTACATATCGCAATACATTCTTCACCTATACAGACCTACCTCAGAGATCAAAAACATGCAGAGTGAACGGTATGAGGACACAGTTCACCAACATGTAGATGTTGCAGCCTACATTTTGAATTCTACTCCCGATATGCAGGGGAAAAGATCCTAGCATCAGCAGCCTCAGGCTGCACCAGAAGATTTTATGTGAACCTCTTCTGACAAAAGAGCAATAAAAGAGAATGTATTATTCAAAGGGAAAACCAATATATTTAGACGCCACTCTGTATATGGCATCATGTATTTGCATTTGCCTGGCCTTGGAAAATCCTATTGATTGTGAACAGTACAAAAGTATGCAGACTAATTACTTACAGTGCACTGAATTCAATTATCTTGGTAATACAAGTAAACCAAACACAATCGTACAAAACCCTACCAGTTACTGTTGTCCACAGCATCTCCAAATCCTGGTGTGTCAACTATCGTGAGCAGTAGCTGAACACCACCTTCTTTTATGAATACTTTTGACTGTTCAACCTGCAGAGAGAAAACACAATTAGACAACTCAGCACAAGTTATTTTCATCTGATGAATCACCAGAAACAAAGCATGTATTCTTCCTGAAACGGGAATCTCGAATGGTCTGTTAACAGCATTCATTATTTGGAAGAGTCACTGCTATCTATTCAAGACAAACTATCTTTGACCCTCAAGAAACCAGTCTCACTTTATTTTGTTGAATGAAAAAAATGAAGCACTAGTCATCTCCCCTGAACAGTCCTTAAAATTATTCATCTGGAAGCGTTTAGCATCCAGATGAATAATTAAAAATAGAATCAAGTTACATTTTTTAAAATCCAGACGTGTGTAATATCACACAGCTAACTGAGTCAAGAAATCAACTATGCCTAGATTAGCCAATTTAACTAGCTATTTAAATGACAACTTTAAAAATGTTCCAATTTGCCAAGATAATCCGCCCTTTTCAACGATGCAAAAGGGCCACTCAACGTGTAAAGACTTAAAAATTCTAATCCCTCCAAGAATGATAGTAAAGAAGAATAAAAAAATGACTGCACGGTTGTATTTATACAGTAAAACTTGCTTAAGTCTTCTCTTTATAAATCGTATAATCGCCTAAGTTGTACATGCTCCTGAGTCCCATTCAATTTCCTATTAAAACCACTTAAGATTTATTTGTACTAATCTTATTAATCATCCTTTAACTCACAATACCGCTCCTCTACCCATTAGTCCCGCACTTACCAGCTACGCTGAATCTCGTGCAATCGCAGAAAACATAGTCTTAACTCGTCACCCCATGCGCAGAAAAACTTTATTTCCTGTAATTCAATGCAGCCGCATGCACACTTACCAGCTGCAGTGCCAAAGTACTGCAAGTGCACTTACCGATCACATTTAATAACACGTGCAAAGTGCTGATTTATTGAATCGTATTTTATATGAGATTTACTATATTATGGAATTGCACAAATTGAAAATTCAGAAATAGAACTAGAAATTCGGACACTGATAGTGCCAGTCACTTCATTCACACAAAGCTAGAGCTGTGACCCACTTCTGAGGGCAGAATCCCTCACCCACAATGGTAGTCCTTGACCATCACAGAATCAGAAAATTACAGCTTCATGTCCTCGCACCTCCCTACATATCCGATCTGCTTACCTCCTCACTCCACCACCTGCTGCATCCACTCGGCTGGCTCCAGCCTCCTGTTTATCCCACGTCCCCTCCGCTCCACCATCAATGACATTGCCTTCAGCCACTATGCCCTGAAACTATGGAACTTTCTCCCTCCACCTTGCCCTCACCTTCAAATCCTGCCTAAAGACCTTTCTTTTTATCATGTTTACCATCATCTCCCCCCTCCCTCTCCCCCTGGCTCGGTGTCAGACTCCGCCATTGTCAAGCTCTCCAGGGCGCTACCTGCATGAAGGGTGCTATATAAATGCAAGTTGTTATTGTTGCGCTAACCACTTTGTATCACCAAGAACTAGCAAGAATCTGCAGAAAATTTGAATAGCATCAAGCTCTTCATTCATAAATTCAACACCATTGGAACACATTTATCTTTAGCCATCCTACTCTTTAATGGAGATTCACTGCAAGTCTGCTTCAATCATCTATTGAGGCAAAATACAATGATGCATAAGAATTGTAATCCCAAAATACCATTCAAACATAGCTACTGCTGACTACAATGAAAGTGAATGCAGCTAATGATAAAACTAAAACATCTGGCAGATTTACAACAGCAATTGGCAGCAAGGACACTGCTCTACAGACCAGGCTTCCAACAAATCAAAATGGACTCTAGTTGCTCTAAACAAACATTACACATAATCCTAAACAGTCTCTTTAGACGTCTCTGCATCATTCCTCAACTAAGGATAGACAGCTAAACAATGCCACACTTAATCAAGGAGGATGTACATCAGAGTGACCCATGGTACCTAACCTTATGAACTTTCCTTTCTGTGGCAGAAGCTCTCTCTTTCCCACCACCCCACCCCCAAAAAAAGAATTCACATGGAAAGGGGGAACAAGAGAGGATTACTAGAAAAAGTAACCATTTAAGATATATCCAACAGCAGGGCAAGTGTTGACAGCTCCCAGTATATGTGGTGTACATGTATTGGCAAAAGGCAAAGTTCTTATAATCCCATATGAAACTTTTCACTGTGCAGTTTAAACAAACTAAATTATAAACTAGGTACAAGTAGTGGCCAATATTATGTTTGGAACCCAGTTTTGCCCCTTTAAAAAAACATAAAATCAGGTAGTCAAAAATCACCAGCAATGCCATTCCTAACATTTCAACAATTCAAAACGTATTAAATTCAAAATGTGTTGATTAGAATTGAAGTACAGAAACTACTACCCGTAATCTTTCATCCATTGACTATTTTAAACACTGTTGAAATTGAAAGTTTCATATTAATACAACTATAAATTAGAAATGAACACTTAATTTTATTCAAGGAAATTTATTTTTCTTGCCAAGTATTCAAATACAGAACATCTCATTCCCAGATAAACAAAACATTTCCGGTGAAGTGAAACATCTGCTCTGGTTTTGTCCACGATTTCAGCCAGCCCTTGCTACTCAGGAGATAAATTGTCTTGAACATGAAGCGCCTATGCCATGTGGTTAGTTTGATTTGAATCATATCCTGTATTTGTCAAGTCATATGCTGTTCTTCACTTTTTACACCACAGTCTTTCCTTTTTTTACGTTTACCTTTATCACAGATATCGTCACACAAATCTAGAAAGTAGACATTAGACAGTCTACACCTGGGATGGCAAACTTGCAACCCAAGGGCCACATGTCTATTTTATGCATGTGTAATGCAGCCCTCAAGTTGGCCGTCCCTGGTCTACACGATGGGTGCATTCAAAGTACAATCCACATCTCCCATAAGACGATATGTAACAACATAACATCCATGCACCCCCCTCCCCCCTGCTGTGTTTTCATAATGCTTTCTTTGTACAACGCCTTTCACGTCGAGGGGACATCCCAATGTGCTGGGCAATCAGTGTTTCGGACTATACATTATATTATACATTATTCCATGCCTACACATCTTATCACTGTAATTAAAACTGCATGCAATGTAGGCTAATACATTAGAATGCATTAGAATATACAACACAGAAACTGGTCTTTGTCGGTGTTTATGCTCCACGTGAGCCTCCTCCTGCCCTCCCTCAACTAAGCCTTCAAGCATAACCTTCTATTTTAATATACTAAAGCAGTTAGATGTTAACAACAACTTGCATTTATATAGTACCCTTCACGCAGGGTAGCGTCCCAGAGCACTACGTTAAACATTGTCTCTGCCTATTCGGAAGTTCAAGTGGATATTTCCTGCGCTCTTATAAAAAGTTTCCAGGTGCTCAACATTCACCCCTCAAACAAATTCATCAAAAAAATCCAATCAGGTAATTGATCTCCTGCAGCTTATGGACATTACTGGCCTTGTCACACTATACACCAAAATTAAATTTATATAGGACCTTTCACATTGGGAGGACGTCCCAAGGCGCTGGACATTCAGTGTTTCGGACCCAAGCTGGGGGTCGAGATTGGGGAGGGTGGAGGACGGGTGGGAAGGGGAGCAGGGTGATCGAAAGCACGGTTGAAGAGGAGGGTCTTGAGACAGGTCTTGAAGGAGGCAAGGGAGGGGGCGAGGCAGAGGGACTGTGGGATGGAGTTCCAGAGGGTGGGGGCAAAGTGGCTGAAGGCCCGCCAGCCAACAGTGGGGTGGGCAAGGCAGGGTATGTGAAGCAGGCTGGAGCCCGCTGAGCAGAGGGAGTGGCCAGTTTGGTGCGAGAGAGGACACAGGCTGCAGAATTCTGGATGATCTGCAGCCTATGGAGGGAGGAGCTGGGGAGGCCAACAAGCAAGGAGTTTGCATAGTCAAGCCTCGATGTTATGAATTAGTGTATGAGGGTTTCGGTGGCCTGCGGTGGGAGATAATGGCAGAGCAGGGCAATGTTGCGGAGGTGGGAGAAGGCAGAACGGGTCATGGCATGGATGTGGGGTAGAAAGGATAGTCGAGGATCAAACAAGATGCCAAGCTTCAGGACTGGCTTAGTAAGGTGGAGTGTGCATTCATGGATGGTGATGCTGTCAGCGCCTGAGGTGTGGAAGCACTGACTGGAGCCAATCAGGAGAGCCTCGGTCTTGTTGACGTTCAACTGAAGAAAGTTAGCTCTCATCCGGGACTTGATGTCTGAGGGTTAGGGTCCTGGAGTCAAGGCTGGAGGCAGAGAGGTACAGTTGGGTGTCATCCGAATACATGTGGAAGTTGACCCCATGTCTGCGGATGATGTCACCAAGAGGGAGCATACAGATGTTGAAGAGGAGGGGACCAAGGACAAACCGCTGAGAAATGCCGCACAAGACTGTGTAGGGGTTAGAGGAGAAACCGTTTGTGGAGATGAAGTGGAGGCGATGTGAGAGATACAATCTAAACCAGTCAAGGACAGAGCCATGAAAGTTGAGGTGAGAGGAGAGGCGGTGTCGACGGTGTCCAAGGCAGCAGAGAAATCAAGAAGGACGAGGAGGCAGATGAAGCCCTGGTAGCAGATGGACAGAATGTCATTTGTGACTTGATAGTAACTGTCTTATGTGCTCCAAGACATTACAAACTCTTAAGACACTATCATAAAATGATTTTATCCACAAAATAGAGTCAATCTACTTTACTGTTTATCCTGTGAAGCACTTTGAGACATCTCGACGACTAGATAAGGTGCTGTATAAAATTATTATTTATTATTAATAAGTGTTACAGAAGAACCAAACCAGACTCAACTAACTGAAACAATTCACAACAATAGGAAAAACAGGCTAGAAACAGCCTGCTTTGTAGGAATTGCATGATCATCTCCCTACACTGAGATGCTGGTAAAACTGAGGTTGTACTTCACAATCAATTCCCTTTTTATATTTCCCTCTCGTTTTAGTGCCCATCAAAGAAAGGCAAGAGCATGTTGTTTCTCAC